ACCAAACATCTTTGTTAACTATAGAATTACTTAACCAGTTTCAATACTGAATATGGAATGGAAGAATTCTGTATGGATTCTTTATAAAAAACTGCCTGTTTATATTCTTTTTACCATTTCCCTATTCTTTCCTAATGAATGTTTTAAATGGTAACAGTGTACATGTTGTATTCTAATGGTTAAGGTGGATGAAAAGTATGCATATGTATTGAGAATTATTTTTACAATCCTTGTATTATGAAGTAAATGACATATTGATAAGAAAAAAGGTATAAATGCTAATCCCAGGAATAAGCACCATAGTATTGATTTGCAGGAATGTATTCTAATCATTTCGGAAGCATAAACACGTGGGACTCTTTCGGAAGCATAAACACGTAGGACTCTTATCATACTCTCGTAGCAAAGTGATGGCAAAAATAGGACAAAAAGAAAGACAAGAAATACCATAGGAATGTAGCATCATAGGAAAGGAACAGCCTTCAAGACCTCAGCTCTTCTGTGTAGGCATTTAGTCTGATCCACAGTGACCATTTTTGTATGCTTTGTAGTGCTTCTGCTCCGGTTAAGGGCATTACGCATAGTCTCAATATCTATGTGAAAGAGCAGCATACAACAGCAGTAAGAGGACTGGAGGAGTCTTGCAACCTTTCTCAAGTTTAAATTCCTGGCTAACAGCATGCTTTATAATATTGTGTCAATGAATGCATGCCTCCGTCACTCTGAAAAGGAAGTAGTTAATTATACATGTAGAACTGCTCTACTCCGTTATTTAAGTGAAGCAGCAATCAAGGATTGCAGAAACAGATAGTGCCCATGATTGTAATAAGGCTGTATTGCAAGACTGCAAAAATTTACTAAGATAAGTAACCCACAAACCTTAGTTATCTCCAAAGATCAAGGAACTGTTCCTTTCATTCCAGAAGGGAATCCCTATTTATTTCTCCTGTTCACTTGCAGAGATTAGAGGATGGTACATTAATGGAATTACGAAATACCCCACTTTGCTAATCATGACCATTGTGTATTCTGTGAGCAAGTTTCTTACATATCATGGGGGGGGCTGTTATCCCACAGAAATTATTAGTAAGAAACAGTTACCAGAAACACAAATAATACTTCATGATAAACATGAATAGCTGCTGGAAAACCCTGCCAAATTAAATTATGATGTATTTTCTCTCTCAGAGAAAATCCTTCAGATCAAGGCTGGCTGGTTCAGTGAAGAGATGCTTGAGTCCTAGAATTTGTTTTAAATACAGGAGGAACTGACCAAATTCTGTGACTTGCCCATTGCAACTTACACTAACGGCAGTTTTGCATCTTGGACATTGAGATGCCTAAGTTACGTCCACAGAAGGAAATATGTCTGTAAGTGTTATAGCCATTCACTGACTGAAATGTCAGGTAGCACTAGCTTAGGTCTGGTGCCACAAGAATACATCTATACAGCTTTTGGACTTATCTGTCTTAACGTGACGGTGCCTGTATGAATTTGCAAGCATGTATCTGCAGTAAACATAGAGTCTCTGCATTGTGCCACACACTGTAGGCATTCTTTCCATGGGTTAATGATCTTTATTGGCCTTAAAATCAATTAATTTACATGTGAAAGACTAAGAACTCAGAGAAAGAATGAGGCAAGATTTTTCTGCACTGGTGAAATCAACGCTGGTCATGAGAAAATTCAAACAGACCATAAGCAAAGTTTTTGATGAGCAGTGTTATAACTGAAATAATTTCAAGATTGGGCAGTGCATAGGAAGTCCAACAAGTAGTTCCAAGTTGGGAGAGAGAAGGGGCTGATTGAAACAAGAGCTCTTTCGAGTAAGAAGTGGAAATAAATTGTATGTTAGACCCAAAGATTTCTTACTTATTTAAATGAGAGGAATTTAAATGTATTTAAAAGAAAAAATACAAAGAAATAGGTAGAGAGGACAGGACACCAGATCTAATCCAAAGCTTAAGGAGACAACTGGGCTGACATTTTATTTCTGTGCAGCAGAAAAACATAATTAATATAATTATTCTAGGACTTCAGTGAAATCTGAACAGGTTAGAATCACAGTTGTGTGCTTTTGAAGTAAAAATGTGTCTAGAGGAACTGACTGTAATGACTTCATTTCTCCTTGTCTACCTTGACACTAGAAAATAACTGATAAAGCCTGTTTTAGAATGTTAATTGTTAAAAATATTAAGCTATTTATTGGTTGTTTTTTCTGGAGGTCTGTAGTTTTGTTCTGGCTTTTTAAAATTTGGTAGTAATTTTACAGTACTGTTTTCAGAGCCAGATACTGTATTTTGTATCCATCAGCATAATTCCATTGGCTTGAATGGAGTGATAGTGATTTACATAACCTGTTGACTTAGTCTCATTTTATCTTGAAACTTATCATCAATGAAACAATATAAGAGGAGAAAGATGCACAAAAATTATTTCATGACATTTTCTCCGGTTGAAATGTTAAATAATAATTTTGTTTGTATAGCATCAGTAAAGCCAAATATCAAGTCCCTGGCCTAGAGGAATTCTCATTTGAAGACACAGCAAATTCAGTTCCATGCAAAGCCCATGGAGAATCTAGCTGGACTGCTGGCAGCAGCACAATGAATATGAGTAGCCTTTTGTCCTCAGTTGATTGGGGTGGTGCTTCCTTTTTCAGATACTTAAAATGTCAATGAGAATGTTTTGTGGGATAGAGTTTTGTGGGCTAGAGAGAAAGTAAATAAGCTGAATATCAGCCTCAGGTATTTTTCCATGGTTTTAAAAGATCTAAGTGGTACGATTTATGCTTCTAAAATACAGTAAAACCCAAACTTACTGCCTCATAGTCAAGAGGTCTTCTTACTGAAAACCTATGTTTCTTTACTGTAACTAGAACTTGATAGAGAATTGTATGTCTGTCTAAGTACACTGATGGAATAGCAGTAATAGGCATTTAATTATTGCTCGGTTTATTTGAAGAGTTAGGGTGTATACTGATTTCTTTAGCTTTTTGTAGGCTATCTCATGACATTTTTTTCCCTGTTAACTGGAGTATTATTGAACTGTAGCAAAATGAGAACAGAGGAAGGATTTATTTTCGCTATAAAACCAGTTGGAGTTTGGTGGGTTTTATTTTGTCTAAAGATAAATGCTTCATTTAAAAAACCCCACAAAATCTCTCCCTCCTGTTTTATACTGACAAATTTTTCTTGATGATAATAATTTTAAAAAATATTAAGCTCTAAATTTGCCAAACACCATTTTTACACTGAACTTCTCTCAAGTATTCTCTGAAATTTGTAGCTGCTTGAAGTCAAGACACATGTTTCTAGATGATAAAATAGAGAAGATGCCACCTCTTTAAAATGTTTTTTCTGATGCATATTTATGTTATTGAAACAAACTATTTTAAGACTTGAAATGCTTTTTACTACCGTAATTCACATTTTTTTCAAAACGTACGTCAAAAGTCAGACTTAATAGTTCATTTATCTACAGGTTTGAATCATTATGTGTGTTCTTTTCTCGAGCTTATTTGAAGTGTTCGTATAACCAGAAACTGCTGGTAACTTACAGCCCACCTAAGTAGAGTGCTGTCCTCCAATTGAGGAGAGTAAAAAGATGAATGTGATTTTAATAAAAACGAGATAACACGAAAGGGGAAGTGGAAGGAATGAGTAAAGAAAGGAGAAATAAAGACTTTTTTTAATGCTTTTGCCATTTCTTCAAGTAATCCTTGGATACGTTTGCATGATGGGGCTTGCAGGCAGATGCAAGTTTATTCTACCTGCAATTTGGAAGAGGCTGTATATGAGCTTTCTGTTAATTGGAAGTTACATAGCAGTGCTAAGCCTGCAGCACATACACCTGATGATTAATCTAAATTGGTGGTACTTTTTAAAATGTTCTGGACAGTTTTATGACCATCAACAATATTTTAAGCTTTTTTAATCAATATATTGCTCAGAATTCTATGATAAATAATAAGCTTCTAGCCAACAGTCACCAAAACAGTTCGTTCCTCCCCAGTATAATACTCCAGAAACAAAAATATGCCCTAAACTTTTTCAAAGAATGAGGTTTCTTTGCTAGAATAAGGATAGCTGCCTAAGTAATTGATCTGATTTCTGCAGATGGATACTTCACTGTGTAATACATGAGTGTACTTCATGTAACACAGCTGATTTTGAGCTCCAAGAAGACATTCTGCTGCTGTGCTAGCCCACACTAGACTATGAAGGATGAGTGATATAATCATATTGAAACTAAATAAATTTTCTGCTTATGTCAAATTTTTATCACCGTTTCAAGACCAGTTTAAAATGTCATTTAAAAATGAATGCAAATCAAATTAAACGCTTCTCTAGCATCCTGAGTTCTCTAGTATTGTAAGTCATTGAATTTATATGACAGATTTATTAAGCTTTCTTAGTTCAGCCTTGGAATTGGTATACACAGTCCTATTGAGATGTTGTAGGGAACATAGAAAAGATGGTTATAGATAATCTTTTGTGTTGCTGCGTCAGGTGTATTATTGCATCTTTTAGTAGATAAGCTTACAAATACGTGGTTCTTGCTTTTTTCAGGCTATTAAAAAGTGGAGCACAGAAACCAAAGTTACTGTTACAAGAATCAACTATGTAATCTGAATTAAATGCACATACTCTATTAACATGTATCAAAGCATTATATTTATATCTCAAAATCAAAATAAACAATGATATAAATGAATAACTGTGAATTCTTGTTTTCCATTTCAGGTCAAGAGATGGAGAACAGAATTTCAGTTTCCATTTCCAAAAATATGATGGATACTTGAATTATTCTGTCATTTGTTGGTTATAAACAGTGGTTTAAAATCTTTGTATAAAAAGCCACGAGTGATTTTACAATTCCCTGTATTTATTGCGTGTGTCTCTGTTTTTAAGACATTTCAACTCTTCAAGTGTTTTCTGAGATAACTGTATCCCACGTATTACTTGTTAGATCTGACAGGATTCATGTTCTCTTTCAGGAGACGCTGATAGATTGGTGTGATGAAAAGGAACTTAATTTGATCTTAACAACTGGAGGAACAGGGTTTGCACCACGAGATGTCACTCCAGAGGTGAGATAGTCCTGGAATAAGAAAAATCTGCCCTTTGGTGTAGAAATGTATGAGTCTGAGGGAGGGGGCTGATATTTTTTTTGAAATTTCCTCTGTGACTTTACTTTGCAGTATTTCTGGACAGGTCAAGTGAAACACAACTTTGAAGCAGAAAAAGCAATAGGAAATATAGCATAAGAGAATTACTCTGACCTTGGGTTCTGACCCAAAACGATTTTCAAACTAAAATGTGGCATAGTATAATGGATTTCCAGTCCCCTTACAAAACAAAAATATGACGGCTTTTTGGCGTAATTTTCCTTAGCACTGCAGTACAACACTGCTAAGCAAAAACTTGTGTGGCTTTTGTTGTGTCCTGCACAAGGAAGAGAGCCCTTAATTCTCCCTTGCAGGCTACTGCATTGAGAACTACTGCATTATAGGTTAGAGTGTGAGAGGCAGATAATAGGAGGAAAAAATTCTGTGCAAAGCTGCTATTGCCTTGCTTGATACCACATTGTCAAAAAAAGCTAAGCAGGCACAGAAATGGAGGTAACCTGCACCAGTAAATGTTGCACAGGAAATCAGGCTACATTCCACTTATAAGGAGCTAAGGTAAGGGGAAAAAAAAAGGAAATAACCTGATAACCTCATGGCCATGAGTTGTAATATGAAATGACTGTGTGATTGCTGTTGAAGTATTTTGGTATTTATGGTTCCAAATTAGATTAATATGAACTTTTAAATCACATACTTTTTTTGGTTTGCTTATGTTCACTAAAGGGCAGAATTAAGTTTGAGTGCCTGAAGTGTTTATTTCGATAATTTAACATATTTAGATTTCTCTTAAGTACTAATATAAGTTTTCAATTGCTTAGACTTTCAACTTAGAGTTGATTTGAGTTCATTATAACATGCCTACAAAGCTTTTTACTTACAAATGTGTCTGTCAATCATGGCTGCAGTTTAACTTTTTTCCGTTAAGAATCTAAAAATACTTTTTAATTTATTGTATAACATTTATGTAACTAAACAAACATGTAAAGAAGATGATCCTGTACATTACTTCTGATGGTTTTAGATTATATACTAGAAACCTTAAGTAAGTAAAACCTAAGGGTCTGTGTATCAGAAAATGGGAACAATGTAAGATGGCCATAGTGTGGTAACTAGTGAAACTGAATTTGCATATGATTCACTGTGCTAAAGCAACGCAAAAGTGAAAAGCGTGTTGGTTGAATTGATCTCTTACTTGCAAACTAACTTAATGGTTTTGAAGGTTGTATTCCCAGCACTGTGTAAAAGGAGGGCTGAATTTCTGCTTCAGTTTTCCTGGTTTATTACCTTTATGCAGGGTCGAGCCTAGGCAGTAGTGCCAGAGGAAGCATTGCAGCCAGTGCCAAAAATTAGCCATAGTTTCTCAAGCAGCATTTGGGACAAGAAATAAACAAATGAGAACTCTGCACATAAACACCTAGTGTTTTCCTTACATTGCTTCATTGCTGTAACTCAAACTAATCATTTAAGACAGGTGGTGATGATTTCTTTGATTAGTTTTGATGTTACAGTGAGCCATTTTAAAAATAATCTGAGTTGTTGAAGTGTCTTTAGACTATATAATAAAAACACATTGATACAAAAATCATTAATAACTTGTACTGAAGAAAAAATGCATTACTTTTAAACATAATAGGTATGCAAGACTTCGGTTGGTTATAACAGAATTAAGTGTTCTGACTGTTGAATTATTCCCATACTTTTTATAGGACAGTATATACTCACTTTTCACTCATTTAAGTTGGATTAACTGGCAAGACTAAACTTAAATCACAGTGGAGAGATTGAATCCCAGTTTTTATTACAAAGTGGCAATGATAAGGTTTGTTCTTATGATAGGGTTTATTAGATCATTCATTCAAACAAGTGTTTTTAAGGGAAGAAAATTAGTTTGCCAGTATATGTTATAATAAAAACGTATGAAGAAGCATAAGCTTTGGCCCCATATTTTATGTCTTTTGGGTCAATGAGAGAACCAATTCTAATTGGAAAATTCATTATGTCAACATGAAACATGCAATAGCAAGCCTTCAGGAAAACTTGCATTGATGTAGGAAGTGGTTTTAATCTCTTCCATGTATGGTATTCGTCCAGCATGCTCTCCTCTCATTACTGAACTGATAATGAAATGGTGTGATCATGACATTGTGCTATTGAGATGTCATCTTCAAGACATGATTTTAAAACTGGTAATAATTGAATCTGATACTGGAAGACATTTTAGCATTTTTCCTAACAGTAGGGAGAGTAGTCCCTTGGGTCATATTTCAGCTGGAATGATTCAGTCCTGCTTCTCCTTAATCCTCCTGTACTTTAGATTAGAAAACACATTTTTCTGCTTTGTTTTTTGAGTATAGATACATAATGGCTTTTGTACCGTACAAGGTAAAGATAGTTCTTGAGATTATTTACAGCCCAAAGAATTAATGTTAATTGAATTTTGTAATTATTGATTAAATTGAAATTAAGTGTCTAGCATAATGTATCTATTAAAAATAACTTCTTGAAACTTCAGAAATTTATGATTAAGTTTCAAAAAAAATTACTCGGTTTCCCCACTCACTTTGCCTTTTGAACACTGTATCCGAATCATACCAGGTTATTGCAGTTGTTTCAATGATGTGTAATGACTTTTTTTCTTACAATGGAATAGATTGTTTTATGGGTATTCACAATATCTGATTTTCCTTACATACCTCAGGTCCCTAAATTTATAGCCTCAGTCTGGTCAGTGGGTGGGGAGAAACTTTTGAATTAGTTACTGTGATTCACATTTTGAGGGGTGAGGGTCAATTAAGCAGTGTGAATATCCTTCACCTTCTTGTCCATGTGACTAGAAGTGATGAAATGCATGTGGATATTTAAACCCCAAAATTCACCCAATGGATGCCTGAATTTGAAGGAAACTGTCTTGTAGATGTTATTAGTGAATGCTGCAATTCTTCATCTATATGGCAGTTTATGATAGTTCACATTTGGACTAAAGCCAAAGTGTAGGCTTAATTTTGTAGATAAAACCGCTTTTTTTTTACTATCTTATTTTGCCTGTAATTTATGGGGGTAGTGTTTAAATCCATACTGGAAATGCTCATACAGTCTGCTTGTTGATTTAAAAAGTGTTTGTTGCTGGACAGAGATCAGGGCTTTACATAGGGCCAAAGTTAAGTTATTTAGGGAACTTCTGTTTTGTATTTCCAGATGCAAACATTTTTTCCTTGGAACTACAATACTTGAGTGGTAGACAGTTACAGTTCTTACAGAATGTTAATGATAACATACATTACCTTTTATGAAAATATTTAAATGATGTGGCAGCATTTTTATCTATCGCTAGGTATTCTTTGATATAGAAATGTATTTTCTCTATTGCTGTTGGTCAATACAAGGGAGAAAGGAAAAATCTCATGTATACAGGCGCTCTGCTCAGTTTTCTATCTTCCGTCTTCTCTATTTTTACATTTATTCTTTTGCAAAATTGTACATCAAAAAAATTCACTTGTCTGCCCCTAACAGAGTCTTCTGGCTGTTTTCTTATCCTTCATCTCTAGTGTGGCTCACAAGTCTTGTTTGCCTCCCTACGCGACTAATTTTATGTACTTAGATGATAGCAATAGAAGTCAACTTACTGTGCCTCAACTGATGCTAGACATCCTTGAGCTGTGTCAGTGTGTGTATTCACAAATAGTTCAGCCACGCTGCAGATAACTGCCAGCCCTGAAATTTTAAGATGAGACTTTAGAAGAAGCATAGAAGAGCTCTTTTCCATCATGTAAAACCAGACAGATGTTTCCTTACAGTCTTCCTCCTCTTCCAATGCTCTGGAAAAATGTTCCTTTTGGTTCTTGCTGATTATATTCTTCAATATTTATAGACTGGTTTTAAATGTATTTAGACACATACCTGTTTTCATTTAATCTGACAATATATGCATATTTGTTTATTCTTTCATCGAAGTTCTCTAGTCCGTGAAAAGAAATCATTGCTCTCTGGAACTCCCTTCTATTTGTCAGCGTTTTTCTGAAAAAAGCATGCTCAGAATGAACAAAATACTCCAAACCTAGCCACACAAAAGCCATATCCGGAAAGAAGAAATTCTCTGTTCTGATGTGATATAAAGTCTTTGTATGTTTAATTCAAAATTGCACCAGTGTTTTTATAATCATTACCAACTGCAAATTTTCTATCACCTGGCTTTTCCCAGTTCCCTGAGGTATCTTTCACTATTGCTGTTTCCCAAGTTTGTCCTTAGAATTTAGTGTGAATTTTTCTTCAAATTCCATTTTAATGTCAATATCCTTCCATGTCCCAAGTAGTCTTGACAACCCTGCTAATCTCTATTATTTGTAATTTTCATGTGTTCTGTCTGTTTGTTTGCTTTCCCTTCAACTTTGTTAATGAAATAAGATGCTTGTGACACAACAGGGTGTCATGTTATAACCATACTCTCACAGCAACGTATGTTCCCCCCAGATTAACCCAAATCCACTGAGACATTTCAAATAACAACTTCCATTTAATAGGCAATAATTTAAACTAGAAATAATATGTAGGTATTTTCATCCTCCCTGGTTCAAATAGTGCCTTTCCAGAGCAGCAGGGTTTCTTGTATTGTTCGTTGTGGATATGGGAGTACTTCTGTTCTTCTTCAGTATTTAACTCTTCTTAGTGCCATACCAAAAACATCTTCATGTTGTCACAAGGCCAAAAGAAACTCATTTTCTTTTTACAAACTGTCACTTCAGGATGGCTCCGTAGTGAAGAGGAATGAAGTTGTCATCTGACATGAGACACTAGTCATTTTGTGGTAGGAATACTATGGAATCGTACAACCGCTAATTACCCAGGCTGTTGTTTCAGTTTTTCACTCTTCAATATTCAAGGTACCCTCCAATTTAATAACCTTTTTCAGCATTTATTTTTGTAGTCTATTTTAAGACTGTAGTTTTCTGTATCTCTTAATGGAG